GAGGGACGCAAAGTGAAGTGAAAGAGGATGGGCCCAGGTGGAGGGCTCATGGAGAGGCCGGGATGGAGGGGTGTCCAGGCCGGATATGTGCTCTTGTGTCCACCTCCCCCAGCCCGGACCCTGCGTGATGACCCACAGAACCTATTTAAAAAATATCGAGAGGAGGAGCTCGAGGAAAGAAGGAAGGTGTACCGGTAAGTCCGAGAAAGCCTCTGATCCCCAATTAGATACCAAGAAAGCCACCACTCCTCTTACCCCTGACTCCATGTTCTTTCTCCAGGTGGGGCTCTTGGAAAGAGGGATTAATCCTGCCTATAGCAGGGAGTACACAGTGGGACCTGCCCAGGAACGAGCGATTCCTCGAGGATAAGGATTTGGACTTCTCTCTCTCTCTGGCCAAAGGGTGAGTGCCAGGTTGAGGCCGAGCACTTGCATCCCAGGATGCAAAGGGAGATTCTTTCTTGATCTTTCTGCCTTGCTGTCCCTTCCACAGGTTGAAGGACTTGGCCATTAAGGGGACATTGGATTTTGCAAGCGGTGTAAAAAGACTGGAAGATTTCAAAAAAATCTTTCCACGTGGAAAGACTGCCCTGGCTGGTTAGTTGCCACACCCTTTTAAAAGCTATATACCCATTCCCAACCCTGGGATTTGAATGAAAAGGGAGCGTAAAATGTCAGTGGGATCCCAGAGCTCACTGTTGGCTCTGATGTTCCTAGAGCGCATTCATGATTCCTGGAAGGACGATGACCTCTTTGGATACCAGTTTCTCAATGGTGCAAATCCTATGCTCCTACGGCGATCTAAGAGCCTCCCAGCACGGCTGGTTCTGCCTCCGAAGATGGACAACTTAAAGACCCAGCTGGAGAAAGAACTCCGGGTGCTGCGCACCTTCTACTTTCCCATCACTTCAGCCATTATCTCCTTCTCCCTTCTCTTTGCCTCCTTTTCCCTTCTTCCTTCCTTTCCTTCAGCTTCTCCATCTATACCCCCTTGATCTCCACCCTCTTCATCTGCACTTAGGGTTTCTCAGCCTCTGCACTTTTGACACTAGGAGCTACCATAATTTTCTGTTGTTGGAGTATGTCCTGTGCATTGTAGGATGTTAGTGGCATCTTGGCTTCTACTCACTAGATACTAGTTACACCCCTATAAGTTGTGACTACCAAAACGTCCCAAAACTTCCAAACATCTTCAGGACAGAGTGAGTGGGCAGGATAATCATCTCTGAGAACCACTGGTCTATATAACTCTTGTATCTCATTGTTTTCTTCCTCCTCTTCCTTGTTGTTTCCTTTGTCAGATGTATCTCAGCTTCAGCCCTGGGGAAGAGCTCAAGCTTCTGGAGAGAAATAGCAAGAGAGACTGAACAAAGCCTTAGAGAACCAGACATATTTTTGGTGGGAAGTGGTGATAAAGGAAATATTTTGTTCCATCTTTGGCTAATGCCTGCAGAGAAGGAGGTAAACAGCGACATGGGAGTGGTGGTACATGTCAGAAAGTAGGGAACTTCACCTTAGGGAGTCACAAGTCTGATAGAAGACAGGAACATGCAGGGCTTTGGTTCTTGGGAAAGCAATTAGTGCTTAAAGTAAAAAAGTTGGATGGGAAGAAGAAAGATCTATGATGGTAAATGAGAAAAGGGCAGGTCCAGAACTAATTCCAACCTCTTTATTCCTGCCATGACCCTACAGGCTGGATCTCTGTTTGAAGCTGATTTCTCCCTGCTAGATGGGGTCAAGCCTAATGTCATCATTTTTAAGCAGCAATATGTGGCAGCTCCTTTGGTCATGCTGAAGCTTCAGCCTGATGGAAGACTTCTACCCATGGTCATCCAGGTAGGATACAGGATAACCTAAGGATCCTGCCCCTAGACATCAATCCGCATTAAGGACTTAAACACACAGGTCCTCATGCCTACTCTCTTTCTTGCTCCAGCTCCAGCCACCTCATCATGGATGCCCCCCACCTCTGCTCTTCCTGCCCTCAGACCCTCCCATGGCCTGGCTCCTGGCCAAGATCTGGGTCCGAAGCTCTGATTTCCAGATACACCAGTTACAGTCTAAGATCTGGGTCCGTAGCTCTGATTTCCAGATACACCAGTTACAGTCACATCTGCTAAGGGGACATCTGATTGCTGAGTCTATTTCTGTGGCCACAATGAGGAGCTTACCCAGCCTGCATCCTATCTACAAGGTATTTAAAGAATCTGCCATTCTTCCTAAGACTGTCCTTCCTATTTCACATTCCCAGCCTCAGAAGACATCTACACAGAATCTAACCTTCTAGCACATTAGGTTAGCCAAAATCTCAGTTTATATGTGGGAACACAGACATGCACACACACAGCATGTATTCTATGGAAACACTCAGGGTACACACTTATGATGAGTTGGATACCAAGTGAAAATAGGTTTACAAAAGAGTTGAAATTTGAACTGAGGAGATTGTCAGGTGGGTGGTGGGAGATGGGGACATTCCAATCAGAGAGATCTATAGGGGTAAAGAATGAAGAGAACATTGATGATGACATATATTAGGTGTGATCAAAGTGTACAATTCGAATGATTGAAGTGTCAGATAGGAATAAAGGGAGGTGAAAGAGAGGGAGCCGTATTACTTGGTAGAGATAAGAATCAAGAGTTTCGTTTTGATCATGTGAGGTTTCCAGTGCCTATAGACATCCATTTAAAAATGTCAACAGGGCAATAAAATATATGAACCTGAGTTCCTAGAAGAAGTCAAAGCTGGGGATATTGATTTTAGAATTATTGGAAAACAGAAGTATCTAAACCTATTGTACTAAATTATGTTCTCTAGGGTTTGTAGCTGCAATAGAGAATTTGGTTCAGATTATAATTCTAGAGTCCGCCAACCTTTATAAATTGAGAAGAGGAAAGGAGAGAGGGGAAAAAAGGAAGAGAAGGAAGATATTGATTGAGGTGGGAGGGAAAAAAATGTAAGTTGTGGCAGACAGGAGAAGAGGAAGGCATAATTATCAGCCCTAAATGCCACTGAGAGCCCAGCAAGGTTACAAAAAATAGTGATACTGGACTTGTCAATATGGAAGTAATTGGTTAAGTGCTGTCTCAGGAGAGTAGAGGCAGTGGAAACCTGACTAATGGAGCTGAGCAGAAAACGTGAGGTGAAGAAGCGGAGACAAAGTAGATGACTCTTTTAACATTTGCTGTGAAGGGAAAGCGAAGAATGAGGGCATTTCTAGAGAAGGTCAAACAAAGATTTCATTATTTAGGGTAACCAATATTAAGCATGTTTGTCTGACAGAGAGGGAAAAAGATAGAGAGACAGACAGAGAGATAGAGAGAAGGAAAGAGAAAAAATAGTTGCAAAAGTGAAGTTCTGAGGAAGGCAAAAGAAGACAGGCTCATATGTGGGGTGGGGGGCTTCTAGATTTGTGGTGTGATACTAAGGACTCCTAGAATTCTTACAAAGTACATGAAACTGTGCAAATAAATGAAGTTCTAAAATCTTGACTCTGGGGGACTCTGAGAAGACATTTCTCCATTTCTCTTCTCCCAAATCTTAGCATGACCCAATTCAACCCAATGGAATGTATTTCATTTTCACAGAAACTCAACCTCTTCCTTCTTTTCTATCATTGGTCCTTTGATATCCCATTCGTTCATGAATCCTGGTATCTCACTTATCTGATTATGTCCCATTTCTTTCTTCCAAATTCAGCTCCTGATCCCTCACTTTCGTTACACCATGGAAATCAACATCCTGGCCCGGCGTAGTCTTGTCTCTGAGTGGGGAATTTTTGATTTGGTATGGAAATGAATGGATAAAGAGGGAAGGTTCAATTCTAGAAGAATCCCAAAGGTTGTTTACCCTACTACTCTGTCCCCCAGATTTGCTTCCTTCATTGAAGGCCTCTCTCTAAATTGGTTTAGTCCTGGTTAAAGGGGCCTGAATAAGATCATTAGCCTTGAATCTCATGACCCCAATCTCTCTCCGTCCCTCATCCTGGCATGCCTAACTCTAATTTATATGCTGTGGGGTTGTCCTCAGGTGGTGAGTACAGGTAGTGGAGGCCATGTGGACATTCTACAGAGAGCCACAGCTTCTTTGACCTATCGTTCTCTCTGCCCTCCCTACGACCTGGCTGACCGTGGACTCCTGGATGTAAAATCTTCTCTCTATGGTCAAGATGCCCTCAGGCTGTGGGGAATCATAAACCGGTGAGAGTGATATAAAAAGGGCTAGGATGAGGGACTCTGTAGATCCAGAATGTCCTACACTGGCCGTCTGAAACAGTGCCTTTTTCTCTGGGGAGCAGGTATGTGGAAGGAATGGTTGGGCTTTTCTATAAGAGTGACGATGCTGTAAAGGGTGATACAGAGCTGCAGGCATGGTGCAAAGAGGTCACAGAGACTGGACTGCAGGGGGCCCAGAACCGAGGGTAAGACACAAATCCCTCCCTAGTGACGTTGTGTCAATGCCCACGCATATTTCATCATAAAACATCCTTCCTTGATGACCCTGAAAAATTCCAGAACATTCTCCAGAAATCTTAAAAGATTACTCCTGATTTTCTCAGTCCCCTTTGTTTCTCAACCTCCCATACAGTGTTCTTCATCCTTGTGCACTAAAAGTGTCCTCTGGAACCAAATATACAACTTCTCTTAAATATGACCCCTGGCTTGTCCCTGCCCAATCCCCATAGCTACTAGGTTCATCCCAAATGCAAACATTTTAGTACACACTGTGTGGGAGTTACAGGGTCTACAGAGGCCAGCACCACAACCTGAAATTGTTTTCTGTATCTCCAAATATCTTTCACAGCCTGATATTTGTCTCACGTCCTGGTCTCAAAGTCTCATTCTCCTCATTTCACTTAGGTTCCCCGTCTCGTTAGAGTCCCGGGCTCAGCTCTGCCACTTCGTTACTATGTGCATCTTCACGTGTACTGGTCAGCATGCTTCTGCCCACCTGGGCCAGGTAAACCATATGATCATCTCCCAGGAGCTTCTGGGAAGTGTCAAATGAGAGATAAAATGCCTGGGTTACCAGCTTTGGTTTCTGAATGGTTCTTCCTGCAGCTGGATTGGTACTCATGGATCCCTAATGGCCCATGCACCATGCGAAAGCCCCCACCAACCTCCAAGGATGTGACAGAGAAAGATATAGTGGATTCATTGCCTGATCTTCACCAGGCTCGTATGCAGAAGACTTTCACAAAGTTCCTTGGCAGACACCAGCCCGTCATGGTTAGAAACATGTGACTGTGTTCTGGGGGATAAAGCAACTTAAAGGAGGATCAGTATTCTTGGCTAAGATACCCAAGGGTTGAGTCATCTTGTTCTCCTTCTCTCAGGTGGCCTTGGGGCAGCATACAGAGGAATATTTCTCAGGTTCTGGACCCCAGGCTGTGCTGAAGCAATTCCGGAAGGACCTGGCTGCCATGGACAAGGAGATTGAGGTTCGGAATGCGAGCCTGAAACTGCCCTATGAATACCTTCGACCCAGCATGGTAGAAAACAGTGTGACCATCTGAGATGTTTTCTTCACCTCTGTCCCATAACTCCACACTCCTAAGACCTTCAAGTACCCTGTCCTCGGCCATATTCCTGGTGAACAGATTGTGTCCAAAGCTGTGCAATCAGAGTGCCCAGAGCTGCCCATCACACAACTTTGGGGAATATATAATGATGATTCTCATTGCATGTTATAACCCGGCACCCTCCATAGTTATCCTACCTTAGTGTCCAACCAATTCCTCCACTTCCTTGTCCTTTGATCCCTCTCACCCATTATTCTTTGTCAAAGACCCTGGTTTATATATAAATACAAATTTCTGATTAAATAACAAAGTTGTTCATGCATGGAGAGGGAATCTGGGAAAAAGACCTTACCTTGTTTCCTGCACTCTTATTTAGATTCTAAGAAAGGAAAAGGATATTTTAGTGGAATAAAAATTTCTTTCAGCAGTCAATGTTTTTTGAAGGGCATCTTTAAACTAGTTGACAGAAGTTCTGGCTGAGGAAACCCAGCAAGACTGAGGAATATTGCTCTTAACAATGGATTCTGGCTTGAACTTTTTCTGAGTCCTCAATCAATATGCCCCTGGAAGCAACTGCAGTAGACTCCCGTGCTGCTCTCCAGTCTTGCCTTCTCTCTAACATGTTCCCTTCTCCAGTTGTATCTCACTCTTCCTCTCAGTTCTTTTCCAGGACTCTAGATTAAACACTCCCTTTCATTTCTGCTCTCTCCTTTCACTATTAAAATATATCATCTAGCCCACAGTCCTATATACTAGAGATAAATTGACAAATAATGAAACAGTAGACTAGGCACTATTTAGGATTTTTAAATGTGTGATCTCAATTTATCTTCATAATATCCCTATGTGGTTGGTATTTTTATCTCCACAGAACTCTGAAAAATGTTACTTGGATTAATACAGATATGGTGTGTTAATTAGCTTGAAAACATCACTTCATACCCCTATAAACATATTCAGCTATAATTTGTCAGTTAAAAAGTAACTTTACCCAAAATACAACAAGGTCAATTTCCATTTGATAGAAAAGGAGCAATGCCCATTATTATGGTCACAGCAAAAAAAAAAAAAAAAAAAAAAAAAAAAAAAAAAAGGTTTAAAAGTTTACTGGGGAGCCAGATATTGGTGCAGCAATGAAACATGACATTTTGTGAGGCAATCCAACATGGGAAGGTTCCTGTTTCAAGTCTGGAGACCTCCTTTAGTATGTCAAGCACATGCTTGCCCATGATCCGTGGCTGGCTGGAGGCAGGAGGTGGATTGTGGCACCAAGACCCTTTAGGACTGTCATCTCTCTTTGTCTTGCTCATAGAAAAAAAATAGAAAGAAACCAAAAACATTACCAGCCAAGAATTCTATACTCAACAAAACTATCCTTAAACTTAAAGAAAAATTCATTCCCAGATAAACAAAAACTGAAAGAATTCACCAACACTAGATCCACTCTTCAATAAATACTTAAATGAGTACTGCTCCAGGAAATGAAAGTAAGGTAAATAGAAATAATAACAAAACAACTAGGAAAATAACTAACAAAATGGTAGGTGTAAGCCTTCATATAACAATAAAATAAATGAATTAAATTCCTCAATTAAAAGACACAGACTGGCTGGATGGATAAGAGAATAGGATCCCTCTGTATGCTGCTTCAAGAAACACACTTGGGCCAGCCAATGGTGTGGTGGTTTAGGTGACTGGATCCCACATAGCCAACAACACAATTCAAGTCCCAGACCTATGGTTTGAAAGATACAGAGAGACAGAGAGTGAGAAATCACCCCCTGGGATGGCCACGCCACAGTCCCTTCTCCTCCATTCTCCTCTCAGGATCTTGGGCATGTTTGCACATGTGCCTGGTGTGAGTTTAAGCCACCAGGTCCAGGACTCGAACCGTGGTTGACTGCATGGGAGTCCAGCGACATAGCCATTATACCAACTGCTGGTCCCCCAAAGTGGACGTTTTGAGAGGAAAAACAAAATAGACAAAACACTAGCTAGACTAAGAAACATAGACAAAGGACCCAGTTAACTAAAATAATAAAACAAAAAAGGAAGAAAACTACAAACCAATATCCCTTATGAATATAGATACCAAAAATATCGACAAAATACCAACAAATTGAATACAACAACACATTTAAAAGAGTATACATCATCACTAAGAAGGCTTTAGCCTAGGGATACTAAGATGGTTCAACATACAGAAAACTGTAAATATAATACTGGTCCCTCAATACATAAATTTTTAAGGGACTCATTCTAATCAGAGTATAGCACAACAAACTACTAAATTATCATTTTTGAAAGAGAGCACTTGTTGGGACCAGCAATTAGCGTAATGGCTATGTCATTGGACTCCCATGTAGTCGACCGCCGTTCGCGTCCCGGACCTGGTGGCTTAAAACTCACACCGGGCGCGTGTGTGTGCGTGCCCAAGATCCCGAGAGGAGAATGG